TATTATTAATATTTTATTAAATTATATTAATATTTATAAAAACTTTTTAAAAATCCAGGCAAATTTGCCTGGAAAACAGTTTAAGGGATAGTATATTTGTATTATTTTTATTTATTTGCTATTTTTTTAAAATATCTGTTTTTTTATTTACAATTAGTATTATCACTAAAGAACTCTTATCCATAGATCCCAAAACCAATATATGGAGCAGAGCAAAATAAAAAAAGTTTTATATACAAGACTATTTATAACTAACTAAATAATAAAACAGCTATATACACTCTACTCATACAACTAAAAAAATCAAAAGAACTAAAGAGCTTGCTTTTCACTCATCTACTCTCTCAAAAAAACTATTGCCAACTATGTCAGCAATATCAATATTGAAAAAAAAAACTAGAAACAGGTCTTCTAGTCCTACTAATATACAAACTACTACATCTACTAATACTACTTATATCAACGAACACTAGAACAAAAAAAATAAAAAAAGCACTAGACATCTCTCTTAACTTAACAAAAAAATTCAAGATACTTCAATTTCTACTATAGAAAAAAAAATATTTTTTGAAAAAAGTAGAGATTCTAGTTTACCTTTGTTAACAGAACATATGACATCATTAGCACAAACAAACCATATGACAGATAAATAAATAGATAATCATAACTCTAGTAGAACTTCAAAATTCCCATATCTCGATTCGGTCTCAATATCAAAACAACTCCTGATCTGTACTAATAATAATATAGTAGATTTTGATAAAACCTTAGAAAAAGTTAATATATATTCAATACACGCAACTTCAAATGCAACATCAGAAGAAGCTACAATATCTAATAGTACCTCTTCAAGAACATATAGCTCAGTAGTAATGAGCAAACTAGAACAAAAGGACCAAGATATAGATAAGATTTTCTGGTCACGTAACTATTCGGCCCTCTGGCCTAATGCCAGATTAGTATCCTAGCAGGTCCAACAAATACGTTTGAAAAACTTATATATTTAATAATTTTTTACTTGGCAAAAAATTTATTATGTATCATTTTGAATTGAAATATACTAAATAAAAAACTTGTACTAAAATTTCTAATATATATTAATTAATCGAAGAAAAAAATATATAATTTTTTTATTAAACTTATAAATCTGAATATTTAGAAAGATTATAAATAGTAATGTAGTAAAAAATATTATATATGGAAGGATTGTTAGTCATAATGTAAATATTGCGAGTTGAAAGCAATTGTTAATTCACAGTCTTTCCATTCATATTTAAAGACCAGTTCCAATTTTTTGCACTAATCACTATTAGGTCCATAAATTTATAAATTCAAAATAATTCGTATGTCTATTAGGATTAGCTTTTTCAGAAATTCTTAGTGATATTAATCAAACCTGCAGCAATTGTTAGCCATTAGCTAATTATTATACAACTGAGTGATAAAAATATATTAAAGGGCAAAAAGTTATGAAAAGATTTTTCTTGAACATTTATCAAAAAGTTAGTAAAAAAACTAGCTTTTGTTAATCGAAGTTTTCTTATAAAGCAAAAAATTTTAATCAGCACTACCTAAATAATTTAGCTAATACTTATTTTTTCTAAATTCTAGACATATATTAATTGCTCTAGAATATATTGATAACTACTACGGTAATAGTTATCTATGATAATTTTAATCATGATACCTTGGCTTTGTTTCTTGAGATGCTCAAAATCTTCTAATTGGTCTTGTAGTATTTCATTTTGTTACCTGATTTTTTTAATTTATCTATCACATAATCAATTAATAATTAATACGAAGTGCACCTATTTGATGTCTCATAGTAATATTATCGAGAAATAAAAAAATAATAATAATAATAATAAAAAAAATAAAAATTAATATGATAAATAAATTAAAATACATTAGTATATCTCTAAATTAGGAAGTATTTGCATAATAGCAAAAAAATGAGATAATATTAGTTTGAAGTAAGAGATGAGCAAAAGCGCACTTTGAATTTTAACATGCACATAATATATATATACATACGTTTATAATTTGTAATCATATTTTTACATAGCATTTTTGTTATAAAATATGATAAAAATATAACGTAATGTAAAATGAAGTTTTAATAAAAGGAGAAACTCTACAATTCAAATTGTGTATAACCTGTTGTTAAATAATACTGAATTAGATATAAAAAATAATAAATATGAATATGTGTACATCTTGTTTTCGCTCATTATCTATGGAAGCTTTTATCTATAAGAACAAATTCTACAAGACCTGCTCTAAATGTTTAATTAAAAAGTTGAATAAAAATATATCAAAACAAGTTCTTTCTAGTAATAATGAATTAGAAAGTATAAATGATCAAATAAGTCGATTAGAAAATGAAATTGAAAAAATTACCTTTGCTGATATTGTAGAATATATTTCTAATAAAGTTAATAGTCTTGAGCAAAATGCCAGTTTTTCTTTTAACTTGTTTGTTAAACTTGATGATAATATAATAAAAAATGCATCTAATGATATGAAACTTATAGTAAATTAATAGTGGATAAAATTGAAGAAGGTGACAGTTATTTTTGGACATAAGTAAGGCTATACTAATTTAAATCTATATTTAATATAACACACTACTCGCTTCCCTTTCTCTCTCTTTAAGCTTTAAACAAAGGTTTAAACAATACAGTTTAATATAAAATTTGACGATTGTTAAAAAAATTTGGTTTGTCAATCAAAACCTCATATTTTTTTATCCTCTATTTTTTTTTTTAAATCTGTAGATTTACAACTAGGCCTACTATTTCAGTACATCATTCTGGTGTTGGTAAATTCTACTTTGCATATTCTCAGTATCGTAAACTAGAATGTGAATATAAAGAATCTAACAAAAAAAGGATAGTTCGTTTTGATTATCATAGTAAGCTAAATGTTAATTTAGATATAGCAGTAAAAGAAGCAAAAATAAAGCTTAGTCATGATTTTCAGCATGAAAAGCCTATAGATATCACAACTCCAGAAGAAATAAAGAATGAAATTATACAAAACCTTTATATAGATTCTGTGCAATTGTGAACTCATCTTCATCAAAAATTTGATATTTCACAAGTAACTATGAAACAGATAAATTATTGATGGTCAGTTTTTAATCAACATTTTTTTAAATTAGATAAAGATCCTGTTATTTTAGCATGTCATTTCCTAAAAGATTCTCAAAATGATAGTAAGTTTTGTTATGAGTGGAAAGATAATTTAGTTACAGCAATTGGGTTCATAACTTCTTTGCTAAATAAACTCTTACCCATATCAAATATTTATTGTGATGCAACATATAAAACAGCTAAAGAAAGATTTGAGCTCTATGGAATTATAAGTAATACCTATGGTGCAAGGTTTTCAATTACATATTTAATACTAAATATCACAAATGCATCTGATATTGAGTGAACAGGGCTACATACTAGGGCACTTTCTAGTTTTCTTTTTTTTCTTTACAATAAGGAACTGCAGCTACAATATTTTTTTACTGACAAAAATTTTGTTCAGATTAATGCTGCGAGAGAAGTATAGCCTAATATTAGTATACAGCTCTGTTTGTAGCATGTGGAAAAAGCAATTAAAGAAAAATTAAAAAGTTGTAATAAAATTAAACATACCTAATATCAACCAGATGAAGCTATTACAGAGTTTAGTTTTATTGACTCTAAGTTTAAACCTGATTTAAGTTATTCTGAATCTGAATATTATAAGGTATGTCTACTAGAGCTACATAATAAAGTTATTGATATTATTAAAAAGCATTTTAATATACATCAAAAAATTCCTGTTAATGCTAATAGTCAATTTTTGATAGCTAAAGAAATCTGTGTTAGTGTAGTTCATGAAATATATAATTTCTATAAAGAGAATAAACTTGTACTTCTCTAGGCATATTTATGGTTTTCATGGTATAAGATTACAAGATGGAAACTTTGGGCTCAATCTGCACAAATAATAATTCTAATAAGCAAGACAAATATAGTAATTGAATCATATTGGAGGGTTATAAAGTGTTGTTACCTTTACTGATTTAACCAACTACGTCTAGATTATATTGTATAGATTATCTGTACATATCTTATTCTTGATTAACTTGTTTGTCTTGATCAAATACACTAGAGGCGAATAACTCCATCTTGGTTCGATGACTTTAAAAGTAATTGGAAACAGCTTGTTACTAAACAAATTGTTGATAGTGATAATACTCATTATTTTATTAATTCAGAACATTGGATATGTAGTTGCCTATCTTTTTTTAATTCCTGATTTCTCATTTGTAAACACTTAGTTCAATATGTAGTTGAAAAAGCAAAATTACTAGATCCCCAAGGTATCAGATTATTATATAGAAATTTTCAATGACAAGAGGATTATCCTTTTCTTATTTGGAGTATTAATGAAAAAAATATGGATAATACTGATACTGATACACAGCAATTAACATTTTCATTAACTTTACAGCCTAAATCAGATATTAGTATAGTAGAAATAGATAATAATAAAACTTTTGACTCAGAAATACACCAGAACTGTGAGTACAAAGTTGTAGCTATAAAACATATGGCCAGTTATCTGGAACAAGAGCTTGTAGCAAACAATTTAAATCATGTTACTCGAGTAGTTCATGATGTTAAATGATATTGAAACTGCACAAAATAGGATAAGGCGAAATCTAACATAACGAAGATCAACTCCATGGATATTATACTTACAATAAATATTTTTTTGACTTATACTGTAATCTTGCAATGAATTAACCTGCTCAAAAAAAAAAAAAAAGAGTTAAAGAAGTCAAATGTTCTAAATTTTAACTGCTAATTCAGTAATTAATATAAAATATAAATTTCAGTTTGTTTGTTATTATCTAACTAAATAGTTTATCACAAACTAAGGGTAGTAATAGAAATATCTTTCATACAAAATAGATCTAGCACATGTTTTCATATATAACTTTATATGAAAGCAAAATTATCTCATATAAATAAAATTTAGAGTTCAACTAATCATAGGTTTTTAGCATTAAAGCTTTTTTTTTTAAGCCAACTGTATTTGATTTTTATTTTTTTTAGTAAATTTGTAAAATCTTGAATAAAAAAATTTGCCTGTGATAGTGATAGTTGTAAAGAGTATTCTTGTGATATATAAATCAAATATAGTATTACAGTATTATAGAACTAATATAGTATGCGATTGTAATAATTCTGAATACTAGTGCAATAGTAGATCGGAGGGCCAAATAGTCACATAACCAGAAAATCTCACCTACATTCTGTACTCTTCATAATAGTTGAGCACTAGAGGCAATCAAGCCAACTAGCAGAAGACTGCTCATTTGATAAGTATAGCTATTGCAATATAGGAAGCACTAGTAATAATAAGTATCTAGTCAGTATTAGATATGATAAAAGGTCTCAAGTAGTCAAAGTAAAGAAAAATAATAAAAAAGGAGCAATATTGAAAGCACCACTATCAGCACTTATCGAGGAGAAAGAATTTTACACAAATTATAAGGCAAACTAAAAAGTATCAGTAAAGATTAAAGCAGATAGTCTCGAAAGTACAATTATATAAAGAGTAGTAAAAAATAAAAGAATAGAGAGAGAGCTAGTGGATACATATGAGAAGCTAAAAGAGATGGAGATCATCAGATATTACACAGATAGTGTGCTAGCAAGAAGTAGTAGAGAGCTAGAATTAGATAGAATAGGAGCTAATTAGTTAGTTAGAAATAAGAAGGAGATAGATAGTAATATTAGTTTTAGTTGTGGTATAGAAAACTAGCCTTTATCAACTTATGCAGAATTAGGAGCTATATAGGTAGCTTTGCTAACAGTATCTTGTAGGGCTCAAATACACATATTCACTAATAGCAAAGTAGCAATAGAGATTATTAAAAAGTATATAAGTAATAACAAATTAAGAAGTTAGTTTAAAATAAAAAACAGAAGCTTACCAAGACAGATAAAAGACTGCTATATAGTAAAAAGTCTAAATTTGTCATTACACAAAGTCAAAGGTCATAGTAATGACAAATGAAATAAGCAAGCAGACTACATAGCTAAAGAAAGGGATCTATATCATTTCACTAACAATCATTTTATCAACAGCTCATTTAGCTGACATTACGACAAATGACAATTTACTAATAATATATATCTGAAACTAATAAAACTCTAATCCTAATTCTATATGATGTCAGCTAAATGAACTTTCAGTGAAATGACTATCAGTGAAGTGAATGGCACTGAAAGAAAGTACTAAGAAAACTAATATATTCAAAGTACTAAAAACAATACTAAGTAATATTCGAGCTATATCCAAGTAGAAAGACTAAATAATAGATTGCTTGTTCAGGTTATTTATAAATATAACAACTGCAATAATATATAAAACAGAATAGGCTGAACTAAGTAAAGCAGTAGATATTATAGTCTTAAACTAAGAAGACAACTCTAGCAAAGAGCTAATTTGAAAAAATACTTAGGAAATACTTAAGAAATAACAAAAAAAAAAGTATATTAGTTTAAAGAAAAGTAGAGACCTTATATTTCATATAAAATGTATTAATGATATTCTACTGACAAAAAACATCTGCTATTTGAGAAACCTCAAACTATACAAGAGTAGAAGATGCATAGTCAGCTTCAGAAAAGACAAAACTCTGTATCATCTAGCAGAATATAAAATCTACTAAAAAATATAGAGGAACTTAGAAGAGGAAACTCTATATCTAACAATTCTCAAAGTATTAACAAAGTGAGATCTATTACTTGAGGAAAATATATTGAGGAAAGTATTCTATAGCAAAGACCCAAAAGAGAAGATGCATATCAGAAAGATGCACCTTAAAGGCTTCACAAATAAGAAACAACATGCAGATATATGCAAGATAGCATAGTCAAAAAGTAAGGCAAACAGAGTATTAATAAGTTTTATTAAACAATTCTGGTCCTGCTTTTATGAATGATTATGAAAGTTCAGATATGAAGTAATAGTTGAATAGGAAAAAGAAAATAATATTATAACTAAAGAGAAAAAAAGGAAAAAGTTAAGAAAAAAAAGAAAAGAGAATAAAGAGAATACATCTCTTACAAACGAAACAAAGAAATTAAAGAAGGAGAAAGAAACAAGAATTCAAAAAGAAGCTTCTAATAGAGTTAATAGATAGATAGATAAGGTCTGGTGGTAAAGAAGAATAGTTAAGGTTCAAAATAAATTAGGTACTTTTGATATAGGCTAGTAGTAGCCTCTCATTAACTAAGAGTTAGAAGTTTGTATATACAAACTTAAACTCTTATAAGAGAAATAGTTGCTATAGCAGATCACACTTAAGTGCTGAAAAGTAACTAAATGAGTTCTAATTAGTTTTAAAAAAGTAGTTTGCTATAAATAGTATAGCATTTTACTTGTAGCTTAAATTAGCTTATTTCTTGTTATTAAGACTACTTCCTTAGCCAATTAGATTTTATTAGTTTGTTATTACAGAACTATCATATGAATAGTTTCCTAAGGTTTTACAGTTATATGATGAGTATATAACAAGCTACATATATAACTTTAGTTATTGTCTAATTTAAGTAGTTTGCTATACAGATGATCGACTATCTGTTAGTTCTACACTATACTGCTATACCTGCAACTTGTCTGTGAGTTACTTATTTAAACACTCTAATCATTAACCCTTTCCTTCTATTCTAAACTAATGTCACTACTATATCTGACTGCTTATGCCAGTTAACTTACATGCAGATCTATTTACCATACAGCTTAGGTCTTCTTTAAGGTACATATTGCCTAACATATTGTGAGCTGCAGAGCTCTAGCCAATTTCAGAAGTAATTCCTACCAGAGTAGTTATGTATTCATTTTACAGATTCATCTAGCTTAGACCTTTGTCGATATTCATACAAACTCAGTTCTTGCTGTAGCCATCTAACAGATATAGTTCTCCAAGTTCTAGCTAGATGTTTTACAAAGTAGATCCTCCTAATTTAGTTAGCAGCCAAGCCAAGTTGGTGTTGCTGCTAATGCAAGGT